GAAAAAACCGTTATTCCACAGATTCGAGTAAAAATAAGTGATCAATTTTTCCATACGTTTTTTCACGCGGGATAATTTACCACTTGTCGTTTTTTCGGTGCCTGTCTAGCGTGCGAGTCACGTAATCGTCACACAAAAGTCATTGGGAGCCGAAGGGGATCGATCTGGGCCATCCCCCCTCCCCTTTTTTCTTCAACGCTTGCATTAAAATTTTGTTTTTTGTAATTCTGCCGTCAGCACAGTTGCATAATGGGGGACCGGCGACACGTACGAAGTATCTGATGGTTTTTTCGGGGTTTAATTTCGTCATTTGAATAATGATCAATGGGACGAGAGAAAATTGACAGTCCTGTGGGTATCGGAGTCTGACTGGAATTTCTTGAGTCTTCGGTGAGATTTATGTTGTCGTCGAGAAGACTATTGACCATTTTCAGGTTTAAAAATATGAATAAATGAATAGGATTTAGTTAGCGATTTATTTAATTGAGTAATTAATTTACTTATCTATTTATCAATTCAATTATCCATTACATAAGTCGATGAAATCGATAAAAGCGCAATTTTACCCGCGGTCTTGCCCGATTCGTTTAGAAAATTAATCGAACATCTGGAAAATCAGGACGTGAGTTGCATAATGGGAGACCGACGACGCGTACGATGTATCTGATGGTTATTTTCGGGGTTTAATTTCGTCATTTGAATAATGATCAATGGGACGAGAAAAAATTGACATTCCTGTGGGTATCGGAGTCGGACTGGAATTTCTTGAGTCTTCGGTGGGATTTAGGTTGTCGTTGAGAAGACTATTGACCATTTTCAGTTTTAAAAATATGAATAAATGAATTGGATTCAGTCAGCGATTTATTTAAATGAGTAATTAATTTACTTATCTATTTATCAATTCAATTATCCCTTACATAAGTCGATGAAATCGATAAAAGCGCAATTTTACCCGCGGTCTTGCCCGATTCATTTAGAAAATTAATCGAACATCTGGAAAGTCAGGAATTTAATTCCTTATTTGGACCTGATCGTCAATCGTGACTACTGGGCATCATTAGAGTGCTCCATCGACATGTTTACTCGGAGAAAGTGTTCGCGGTGGAATAATCAGTGATAAATTTGCGCAGACGCAGAGCCGAGGGCTCTTAACATCAAATAAGTAACTGATCTATTGTTTATTTAAGCAATTGCGTTACGCGGGGAATTCCAGAATCCGCGATCCGGATTCTTCGATCGATAGCGTAATCCCACTTTCACGATAAATATTCGTGTCGAATAATTTATTTTTTCATCAAATCTCTGAATTTTCTGTGACGGAATTCCCTGAAATTCTAGTGCCACTGTCACTTGATAAACATTTACACAAAAAATATTGATTGAAAAATATCTAAAGCAAATTTCAAACGTTTAGTTTCCCTCGATCGATTTATCGATGACGATGCATAAATTATAATGAAATCTGTTCAAATAAAAATTTCAACAATTCAATTAAATTTCTTAGAAAACGAGGATTCCCAAATTTCTTTGATCTTAAATAAACATATGAATATTGAGTATCAAATTTCGCAGAATTTTCCATTATTTACCCAAATTTTTCTGATTTCGATTAATTTTCATGGATTAATTGATTTTTTTATCAATTTCATGTCGATGAAAAAATTGATTATTAAATACATTTGAAATTTCAGTGTAACCGTCACTTGATAAACATTTACAAGACCTCCACCGAAAATTTCAGCCAATATTCCCAACAGTACGTCGATATAGTCTCACAATTGATGAAAAAATCCGAAAGCTAATGTCAAGCGTTGAATTTCCCTCGATCAATTAGTATTTTCTCACTCAACCATTGCCACCCGATTTTTGTCAGCAAAATAGCAATGAGTATCGATGGCTGAGCTTTCACGGCCAACCTCGTCGTCGATGCATACCTTATACACCTCGACTTTCCCCAACGAGTGAAATGAACGTGGTATAACAAAACATATTCAAGCATCCCAGGAGACCTTGGAGTGAACGTAAGAGGACTGGGCCAATCCGCGTGAGAGAGGATAGGAGTAGTGAACAAAATATGTTGAATAAAAAAAAAATGTCAGATATGGCTAAGCATACGGGAGTGGCCTAGCCCGAGGAATGTCACTCGCCAATCGACCAGATTGCTGACCAAAGCTGCGAGGACTTGAAGATATGCAAGTTGAGACTGTCCAAATACCGAAGAAACCGAGTGGAAATTAAATGATCGGTGAAGTGGTGCAACTGGCCTGTTTTGCCTTGATAAATACGACAATGGGGATCGGGAGAAAATGTCACAAGACATTTTCTGGTTAAATTTTTTGGATTTATGCGAAAGAGTCGGTTTAAAAATTGATGGAATGCAGAGCGATTGGGAAAATCACTTCAGACTATTTTAAAAATCTCTCGAAAGCCAGTGGATTTATCAGAAAATGTGACAAAACATTTTTTGTTGAAAATTTAATTCTCCACAAAAAATTCCTATTGACATTTTTTGATAGAGCTGATAGTTCCGGAGATATTCCCGAAATAATCTGTTCAAAAATTGATAGAATGCAAAACGATTGAAAAAATCACTTCTGAGGATTTTGGAAATATCTCAAAAGGTACTGGATTTATCAAAAAATGTGACAAGAATTTTTTTGTTGAAAATTTAATTCTCTACAAAGAATTCTTACTGACATTTTTCGATAGCGCTGATATTCTCGGAGATATAGTCGAAATAGTGTGTTTGACATTTCGTACGATGAAGGAAGAATGTGAAAATCCTTGAAGACGATTGAATAAACATGTTGAGAACTACTAGATTCATCGAAAAAAATTATACTGCCGCCAATATTTGTTAAATAGTCCCATTAGAATTTATGATGGTGAAACCTTATGAAAATTGTTCCAAACTAATTTCTCCGATTCCCCGATAACCAACTTCCCTCGATATTTCCCGCATGAAAAATGTGAAAAACAAACCGGAGACCTTTAACAAATCACCTCGGCATTAGAAAACGAAATGATAGAATATTCCCAAGCCTCTAATGTCTCTAAAATTGCAAAGATCCATTCCCCGCAAACAAGGCTAAACCGAGAGGAGCAAAAAAAAGTAGTGGCTCAACAACGTTTGATATCCCCTGGTGAATGTGGAAACAGTAATATACATAGAGGAGAAAATGTATATAATGTCCTAGCTAGAATAAACCTCCAGGACAAGGCCAACCACCGTCGTCAATGATAAATAACTCCCTCCTTGAATTTTTTTATGTTTCAATAATTTCATTGAAATCATCTCCGTCCTCATGTGAAATTGCACTGTTCGAGGATAAAACAAAGACACTTTCGAGGAGAATAGCGAATATATGGCTAATGTACTGTGACTAATTTGAAAATTATCACGTTTGTCGGATTGCAGTCCTTTTATATTACATTCAATCTAATTGAAAATTTCTCTTTCTCTTGCAGAAAAAGGAGTTAAGAAATTGTGAGAATTGCGGAGATTAATTCGGAGTGATAATTCAATAGTGAGAATTAATAAAAAAGATGATTTGAAAGAAGTGAATTGGTGGAAATGTCATTATTTTTTTAGGGGAATTTAATTTTCTGGGAAAAATTAGAGTGATGTTTTTTGATGAGCCTATTAGGTTCAGATCTTTCATGAGGCCTATTAATTTCTGTGCGAATTTAGCCGCAAATTGATTTTTTAGGGACTTCAAATCCTGTTAAAACGTCTCTTAAATTTTCCCGATGATGCGTTCTCTATGAGCCTATTAATTCTTATTCTATTTTGCAAATATCTTTGAAACTAGTAGGTCCATGAGAAAAATGTCATCAGACACTTGAATAAGAAACACGATTTCCAAAAAGAAATATTCTCCTCTCATTTGCCGATAAACCTACTAGTTTCAGATATCTCAATATCTTCGAAACTAATAGGTTCACAAAAAATATTAAAATAGGTTTTGTAGATGAAAAAAAATTTCTGGAACAGCGATGTTTTCCTATGAACGTACCGATCCCAGAGATATTCACGATACAATCTGCCCATTTTTTCTGGAACCTACTAATTTCCGAACAGCCTATTTCTTGAACATCTGAATGAACCTATTGTTCACAAAAAAACGAGTTCTTTTGTAGCAAACCTACTAGTTTCCAAGATATTTGGAAAATAATCTGCCTGCCCTCTCCAAACCTATTCCTCTCAGACCGAATAATAAGTGAAGCAAATAATAGGTTCGGAAGATGCAAAAATAGGTTTGGAATTGATTTTTCAAATATTCCTCATTCATTACAAAAAATAACTAGTAGCTCTTTTCTGAACCTACTTCTCCGAGCCTACTACCTCCCGAGTCACCCTCAAAACCCCAATAACACCCAAAAAATCGACTTACCCTTTCCTTTGATAACCGGCACCAACAACAAAAAACATCCAGCGACGAAGAAATAATAAAGCCTTCCAGGTCTAGCGCGACCCAGTGGCCGTGTCTCCCGACCCATTCCGCACCCGCTCCCTAGTCTCCAAAACTCCTCAACAAACTCCGCACTTTGCAATCACACTCACGTTGTATTTAAAAAAAATCCCAATAACAAATTCGACTAGATCCTAGAGAGACCTTCTCTTCGCCAGTTCTGGATCCAAAATGTCCCAGTTATATCACACAGTCATTGTGACTCGTCATCCTCACTCGTTCCGGGCAATCCAATTTTAAAAAACTTTTTTTCTTCTTTTCAATTGGAATTTTTTTTTTCGGTATCGATGGGATCATTAATTATCACTCCGTTAACTGTCGTGCCCAGTGCTCCAGTGTGGACTGACTTTTCAGACACGAGCTGGAATCGCAGTAAGCGCCAACTGGAGAAAGGTGTACCCCCGGCTGATGGTCTTAGCTGGTACCTGGTTCGTTCATCGCAGCATTACTTAGACCATTATATCCCTCTCCAAAAGACTTATCCAGACTTCTCTTCCTCTCTCTTCGCAGCCTTTTCCTATCACTCACCAGCCTTGTTTCTTCTGGTACTTGTCGGTGTTGTACCGTGTTTTGTACTTGTCTCTTGTACTCTTGATGCATCAAGAACCATCTGGGACCGGGAGGGTACAACTCGGGTGAGACAATTTTTTTTTCTCGTCAATGGGGGATGCAAAAAAAAGAAATTCCCTCGGATGTTCTTGCTCTTGTTAGTTTTGTCGAGATTGGAGTCGACTGATCTAGTAGAATTCCTCGAGGTACCGTATTTTCCTCGCGTACGCTGACTCGAGGGGGAGAGCGTGTGGGTAATTGTGAGGAGGTGCAAGCGGAACGTTGTGCAAGGTGTCTGTTTATACTATATTTGGATTTTATGGGTCTGCTAAATTGTCCGTTAGATCGGCATTGGGGAGTTTAGAAAAGGGGGAATTGGGTTTCGGTTGGATCGGTGGATTGAGGTGGTGACATGTTTTGGCCATTGCGGCGATGTTTGTTTTTATTTGGGAGATTTTAAAGAGACTTTAAAGAAAATTAAAGAAATGTTTAATTTTGTTGATTTAAAAAAAAAGAATGTAACGTTTTTTGTCAGCAATTAGAATTAATTCCATCCCAAATGTTAATGTTTTATATGTAATGAAAAAAGATTTTAAAAAGTTGATATGTAAGTATAAGAAAATTTTCTATATTTATTTTTAGAAAAAAATATCTTCTTTTTATTCATCTTCACTTTTAATAACTAATTTAAATGGCAATGGCAGTGGTGACATTTTTTGGCCATTGCGGCGATGTTTGTTTTTATTTGGGAGATTTTAAAGAGACTTTAGAGAAAATTAAACAAATGTTTGATTTTGTTGATTTAAAAAAAAAGAATGTAACGTTTTTTGTCAACAATTAGAATTAATTCCATCCCAAATGTCAATATTTTATATGCAAAGAAAAAATATTTTAAAAAGTTGATATGTAAGTATAAGAAAATTTTCTATATTTATTTTTAGAAAAAAATATCTTTTTATTCATCTCCATTTTCAATAACTAATTTAAATGTCAATATTTCTTCCTTTTCAGTCCGTGGAAGATCATGACCTTAACAATGAATGAATATTAATGCGCGCCCTCTCCCTAGTCAAAAAAAATAGAGTGAAAAAAAATTGGAAAATTTGAGCCGAGAAAGTTCTACAGAAAATATTTTCTATTGAACATTTCAATAGAAATCCAATCGAATTGTCTAGCGAATTCGCCAGGTTTTTCTATGAATTTTTTTTCTTGCGTATCTCCGCGGGGACTTCCCGAAGAAACCAAAAAATAAAAAACCCAAATATCATGGGCATCGGGTGAGCATCAGGTGCGCAAGAAGCCGACAAGTCTCGTCTGGGCGCGACCGTAGGACCTACATTCGATTAACACGGAAGAGGTGGTGCTTGACACTCCTCAGTCCCCCGTATTGCCAAAAGATACGTCTGAATGTACCAGCGCAATTGCCACTGAACCAGCACGACCCCCATTTCCCATCACCTGCGCTCAGAAAAATTGTTCATTTGAATCGAATAAAAATCGTCATCATTAATTTTTTACTTGTTTCACCAGAAAGTATTTCATTATATCAAATCAACAATTTATTAATTTCAAATCAAATTTTTATCACAAGAAAATGATTCATTTCATTTTATTAAATTTATTAAAATGAACTAACAATTTTTCGTAATTTATGAAAATCATATTTTCATGTATTTAATGTAATAATTATTGCATCTAATTTCGTTTAATTTTTTTCGAGTCTATTCAACCCCAGAGCGATAATTATTAGTATCAAATAAAGAGTTATTATAATTTTTTTTAAAACAATTGATTTAATATAAACAGAACCTCAAATAGAAAAAAAAATATTTTAATTAAAAAAAATTAATTTTGTAGTGTTTAAATAATTTATTTATTCGATTCAAATAAATTATTCCACCACTATAAATATAAACCACCACTATAAATTATTCCGTGAACCACTACACCCAGAAAAATAATTTATTTATTCGATTCAAATAAATTATTTTTCTGGGTGTAGGTACGACCCAAATATCCAACATATGAAAATGCCACATTTATTTTTCAATTATTAATATCATGTTCCCAGTGGTAATTTCGAGTGCACTCTCTAATTGCCGCCCATTCATACCGCATGTCCATATTCTCGACTTCCAAGTGTTACTTCTCTCCCTTTTTAAGTCAATTTAGCATCGAGTGGCGACTGCTTTTAGAAATATCAACTTTTACAATTTCATGGGAAGGGG